TTTATACTGCGGTTAAATTAACATATCATTACAATGTTAACATTGAATAAATAATAATTATAATCAATTATATAATGTGCAACTGTCTTCACAGCGTTACAAGAACTTAAGGGTGTGCTGTAATCCTAGTAATCTCTTATGACCATAGCAACTATAGAACTTTCTCCTATGCATATTTCGTGTAATGTAACTGAGTCTTACGTGCTTTACATTGCATACAAAATTCTCTTCCGAATACATGTTCTTCAAGAATTCCCTAATATCGCATTAAAAATAAAACTCCTTTATTGTTAATTTTATTTGAATAAGTAAACTTTGATATTTAAGCTAATCTTTACTGACTTGTTTTGAATTATTAATTGTATGAATTTTTTATGAATGGGACAATTGGTACACCGAAGGCAAAAACAAAATACACACAATATACTCATGCGTGGGCAAGTCTTGAATACAATGTTGGTAAGTTTTTGTTTATTCTTATCAATTATTTTTTAAACGATTTTGATATCAGTTCCTTAAAAAACTGCTTTGTCTTGGTAGCTTATCACCACATATTGAACTTATTTGCGTGCAGTGCAGTTGTACTTAATACTATAAATTCAATTATTGTACTATTATTTGTTTTAATTTGTTTTTGTTGACATTTTTGTTTGTACCCAATTTAGTTTAGATATATACGAGGGGGTTCACAAAATTTCGGTAATTTCTTTTTGTATTTATTTGTAATATTTATCCCTTTTTATCTTATCTACACAATCATGATTGATTTTAATGTATTTCTTAAGCCTATAAATCCACTTCTGAAAACAGTCTACAATATCTTGCCTCTTATCTTACCAAGTTAAGCGTTAACCGCATTAATTACATCCTTGTTGCAATTAAAGACCTTTTGCCTTAAAATATTTATTATTTTTTGGAAACAACCAGAAATCTCAAGATATAGGATCTCAATTAATGCTGGACGTATTTGTTCGATCCCAGCGATTGGTATGAAATTATTAGTTATTTCCACAGTGTGGCCCGTGTCGTAATGAAAAAAGTAGCGCCAAAAATCCCCTTTCCTCCTGTTTTCCAACATATTTCTGAAAACCTTTGTAAGCACTCTTCGGTGTATCATATTGCAGTTACCGCCTTAACCCTCTCCGGTGGAATAGCAGCTACGATTCTGAATCGGTTGAGGTAGACTGACATCATTACTTTTGCTGCTGATTATTGTTGCTTAGATTTAAAGGGTGGGTTTGCTTCTGTTGGTCTCCATACAAAGCATACATAAATGGTTTCTGAATCGTACTAACAGAACCAAGATTTGTCATCAGCTTAACTGAAGTCACTTGACTGACTATTTTCGATTTTTTTTTTGGAAAGAATTAAGCAAAATGTGCACGAGCCTCTATTTCGACCTGATTTGAAATTCGTGGTACCAATCGAGCAGATTTCTTCGTGTATACCAAATGATTACTCAATATTCGCGATACAGCCATGGAATTCGAGCTCAGTACATTAGGAATAATTTCTTGTGACAATTGTGAGTATTCGTCAATTTTGGACTCCACCAGAGCGATTGTGACGTCATCACAGACGATGGAATTTCGTCTGACCTGTCTTCAGCTATTTTGCGTTTTCTCGTCTCCATTTGAACCGATCGTTCTCAAATTTAAACAGAAAACTAATAAAGTATTTGTAAGGGATTTGGCATCTTTGGATTTGACAAAAACAATTTGTAGGTCACTCACTGAAGGAAAGTAAGGTTCAAGCAAACCGGAATCAGGTTTGCCACCTCCTGGTGTTCCTCTTTTACTGCTATTCAACAGGCTGAGAAAGTGTTTCCTCCGTAAATTCAGTATACTCTGGGCATCAGTGACGGCAACCTTTCCGCGGCCTTGTACACCTGTTTTCTCTACACTGCTCGAAAGGCAATCCTTATAGTACTACCCGGTTTTGTTCTGTTCTTTCGAAACCAGGAAATGGATAATGGATATGGTGTTATATAGCCAAATTCTCTAAATTTAGAAGCTTTATTGAAGGTAGTGAATGTGTTTGTATATTTTTTGAATTTAAAGGGAAAGTGGGTAGACTTGGCTAGTTAGGTAAGTACATGTACACACCTATGAGTACATACTCGCATATGTAAACAAATTCAAACTGATTATTTTCATTTGAACATACTTAACCTACACTATCCCTCTTAAACGCTTCAATAGCAAAAAATTTCAAGTTTAACAAAAACTTTGTTGATAACCATAGGCCAATATTTATATTGCATAGGTATTATCAGTTTCACATTTATTTTCTCAATTCACATGAAACGGGATTTTACTCATTTTGCTATTTAAAGAGCGATTTCTGCCGATTCACTGTTAATTTGTGGTGAAATACGCTCATCGATGGAATAAGTTCGTCATCGACACGTGCTGGGATTTCCCATTGTTTTACCTTCTCTACAGTACCTTCCCCAGCATCCAAGGTCTTATAATTTGTTGCTGGGCTACTAACTGTACATATACATTTTTTCATATTTTTATTTTATTTAATTTGTTTAGTATTTGAAAATTAATTTCATTTGCTTTAACTTTATTTAAATTGATTTATTTTATTATATTTTGTTGTGTTTTATTTTATTTTAACAATTTTTTTTTTAATTTAATTTAATTTCAATTAGCTTTATTAAAAATAATTTTATTTTATTTGATTTTAATTTGTTTTAATTTATTCTTTTTATGTTTTAGTAACTTTATATTGTTTTACTTTACTTCACAATTTTTTTTTTATCGATACGCGATCGGTTGAGGCTGATCGACTTCACCGGGGCCCGAAAAAAAATATCTCCTATCATTAAACAAACAGTCATCACATTCCCGACTTGGCTCCCATGTCACTGTTGACAGTTACAATTTTGAAGTCGTAGATAATTTCGTCTATCTAGGAACCAGCATTAACACCTATAATGACGTCAACCTTAGAAATCCAGCGCCAAATTCCTCTTGCCAAAAGGTGCTACTTTGGACTGGGTAGGCAATTCAAAAGTAAAGTCCGCTCCCGACGAACGAAAATTAAACTCTACAAGTCCCTCATCGTTCCCCTCCTGCTATATGACAACATCTGATGAGTTGGCGTTAGGAGTTTTAGAGGAAAAGGTTTTGCGTAAGATTTATGGCCCTTTGTGCATTCGCAACGGCGAATACCGCAGACGATGGAACGATGAGCTGTACGAGTTATACGGCGACATTGATTTAGCTTAGCTGGCTAGGTCATGTGGTACGGATGGATGCGAATACGCCAGCTTTGGAAGTTTTCGGTGCAGTACCCGCTGGAGGAAGCAGAGGAAGAGGAAGAACTCCACATCGTTGGAAAGATCAGGCAGAGAAGGACCTGGCTGTACTTGGTATTTCTAATTAGCGCCAAACAGCAAAAAGAAGAAACGGATGGCGCAATGTTGTTAATCCGGCTAAAATCGCCTTAGCGGTGTCAGTAAAGTAAGTAAGTAATTTAATTTAAGGTAATTTAATTTATTTTTTATTTAATATTATTATTTTGTTTATTTTATATATATGTATATTTTTTTTCATGTTCTTTAATTAAGCAAAATTTTATTTTATTTAATTTTACTGTTTTTTATTTTATTTTGTTTTTTGACCATTTTATGTAGCATTTATTTATTTTATTTTGTTATATAATATATTAATTTAATTTATTTCACTTCACTTTATTTGATGTTAGTTTTCTTAATTTTATTTAGTTTTTCCCTTTAAATTAATTAATTTTTTTCTTAAAATTTTCATTTAATTTTTTTATTTCCATTTATTTTATTTTAATTTGATTTACTTCACTTTAATTGATTTTAGTTTTCTTCATTTTATTTAGTTTTTCTCTTTAACTTAATTGATTTTTTTCATAAAATTTTCATTTAATTTTTTTATTTATATTCATTTGATTTTAATTTGTTTTGTTTTTCTTTTATTTTATTTCTTTATACTATATTCTTTTATTTTTTTTTAATTAATTTTTTTTTATATTGTTAATATTTTATGTTATTTTATATAATTTATTTAAATGTTTAATCATTTTAATGTCAATTTATTTTATATTTATGATTTTATGTTTTATTTGTTTTTTTTTATTCTATTTCCTATTACATATTCTTAGATTTTATTGCGTTTAATTTATGTTTTGATTTTGTTTTATTTATTTAACTTTTTTGATAGCTAATTAAGCTTGATTTCACTTTATTTTACATTGCTCAGCTTTTTAGTTTTACAATATTTTATTTTGTCTTATTTGGTCTCATTTTTTTCAATTGATTATATTTTTTGTTTTATTGTATTTATATTTATATTTTATTTTACACTGCATTATATCATATTACTTTACTTCATTTTATTTTATGATACATATTTTAATTAAATTATATTATTTTATTAAGTTTTATTTTATTTTTGGTTATTTTCCAGATTTTTGGTTTTGCTTTATTTTATTTTAAACTATTTTGTTTAGCTTAGTTTTATTTAATTTTTTTCATTTTTAATTTATTATGAATCTATTATATTTAACTTAACTTCATTCTATTTTCATTTACTATTTTACGTTAGCTGTTTTATAATTATATTAAATTTATTATTTATTTTAAATTTTCCTTACAAAATACTAAACCTAATTTAGGTAAGTTAATTTAATTTATGTTATTTTATTTGTCATTTTAGTTCTATATAACTATATGTGTGTGGACAAGTCTTGAATACAATGTTGGTAAGTTTTTGTTTATTCTTATCAATTATTGATTAAACGATTTTGATATCAGTTCCTTAAAAAACTGCTACGTCATTGTAGCTTATCACCACATATCGAAGTAATTTACCCCAGCGCAACAATATGCTTAAAAAGCTGATTATCAGTCTCACTTTAGAATATAAATTCAACTGGTTTTATTTCTTTTTATTTATTTTGTTTTGATATTTTCGTTTGCTCCCACTTGAGTTTAGGTATACGTACGAGTATATAAATATGACATAATTATACAGATGAACAATTCACCACTGACCATCGAAGAGACTGCTACATTGTAGAAAAAAAAAACAATTTAATTAAAAAAAGAAACTTTTAAAAAATGTGGTTGACACTAATTGCATTGGTCATTGTGGCTATAACTTTTATAATACGCAGGCAGTATTCCTATTGGGAGCGTCAAGGTGTGGTGTGTGATAAAGCTGAGATTCCCTTTGGTTCTCTAAAGGATACGGCACTCGGCAAAAAGGATGCCGGCTTTGTCATTCAAGACATTTACAATCGCTTTAAGGAACGTTATGTGGGCATTTACTTCCTATTTAAACCGGCTCTATTGATACGTGATGTTGAGTTGGCGCGCAATATACAAGTTCAAAATTTCACCAGCTTTCATGATCGCGGCACCGACACGTCAATCACAAAGGAGTTATTTTCGCTACGAGGTGCTGCTTGGAAGTCGTTGCGTGCAAAATTGACACCACTTTTCTCCACTGGAAAGCTCAAATCCATGCTGTCGACAGTTAACGATGTTGGTAATACGCTCTTAAATCATTTGAATAGTCAGTTAGAGGGCAAAGACTCAGTGGTAGTAGACATGAAAGCTGAACTGACGACGTGAGTTCGTGGCGTTCATTTGGGTTCGTGTGAATCTCTAATCTTTAATAATTGGCGTTGCCTTGATTTTTTTTTATAGATATACGGTTGATATTATTGGTTCAGTATTCTTTGGTCTCGACATCAATAGCTACAAAAGTCCCAAGAACGAATTTCGCGTATTGAACGATGAATTACTCAAACCGTCGTGGTGGGTGGACAACCTGCATGGTCTGGCGAGTTTCGTTTGCACGCCGTAAGTTTTTAATAGATACGAATATAAGCTGCAAGCAATATGTTAACAATTACGTATTTTTATTGCGCACTAAAGTCTCGCCAAGTTTATGGAGTTCTTCGGTTATATGCCTCTTGGAATCAGGCAGACACGGGATATTGTTGCACGCACCGTAAATTACCGTGAACAGAACAATGTTGTGCGTAAAGACTTCCTGCAACTTCTCTTACAATTACGTAATACCGGAAAAATTAGTGAAGATGAGAATTGGTCATTGGATACAACAAGTGGGGAAACCAAGTCCATGTCGATTGATATGGTCGCAGATCAAAGCGTATTGTTTTACGTTGCCGGCAGTGAAACCACATCGACTAATTCCTCCTTTACGCTCTATGAACTTTCCTTATATCCTGAACACTTGAAAACAGCTGTTGAGGAGGTAGAGTCTGTACTGACTAAGCACGGTTTGAAGCCTAGCGATCCTCTTACCTACGAAGCCATACAGGATATGAAATTCATAGATCTCTGCATGAAGGGTAATTGACAGAGACTGAAATTCTATATTTTACACTTAAAACAATAATAATATTTGTGTTTCCAGAAACTTTACGCAAGTATCCCGGTCTGCCATTTTTGAATCGTGAATGCACAAAGGACTATAAAGTTCCAAACTCGGATTTCACAATCAAGAAAGGAACATCATTACTCATTTCGCTCCTTGGCTTACATTATGATCCAGAATATTTTCCTAACCCACAGACTTTTGATCCATATCGCTTTACGGAAGAAAAGCATAATTATAACGCCGACGCGTATATGCCTTTCGGTGAAGGCCCACATCAGTGTATTGGTGAGTAAAATTTGAGGAAATATTGTTTCTGTAAAACCAAAATTAATTTTGTGTTTTTAATTTTTCAGCAAAACGAATGGGTCTTCTTAACTCCAAGGTGGCCATCATCAAAGTGCTCGCGAATTTCAATATTGAGCCGAAAGAACGAAAAGAGATCGAATTTGATTGCAGTTTAGGTGTCGTATTTTATCCCAAAGGTGGAATACAAATGAAATTATCAAGAAAAGTTCAGTGAAATAAGAAAATGTTTATCGTTAAGTTTGCTGTAATAATAAAATATAAAACTTTTTATCAATTATACAAGGTAATTTAATGCCTCCAAGGAGCCGTTCGAATTGTCTGATGTCACATGGACCCTCTCGCACATATATGACGAGTAATGGTTTTCAAGTTGATCAAGAGTTAAAGGTTTATGAGCATAATCACGGTCTATCGCGTAGCGCTTTAAAAAAAGTCTCGCCATTGTCGTTTTCAAAGAAGTAAGTTCCAATCATATCTCCAGATTATAGAGCGCGCCAGAGAGCAAGATTTTTCAATTATTTCAAAATTTTTGGAGCGACAATTTTGCTTATTTACGTATCGCCGAGTGTGAAATGCGCATCGCTGCAGAAGAAAACTTTGTTAAAAAATCGACGTTCACGGTTTTCTATTCAAGCAGCGTTCAATCGATACATGCAGCAAAATTACTGTATGCGCTAAGAAAAATACGCCATAACGTGCTATAAAAAAGTCCTAGCTCTTGAGAACGACGTTGCACAGGTCTTACAATATCTGTAGCTGAGCCTCTTTAAACTTCTTTAAAATTTCACCATTCATCATCAAATCAACTTAATATTCTGACTCAACCGGTATACATTTAGATGGACCTATCGTTTCTCCCTCTGGTACTCACATATTTCCATACTTCGAAGCAAAGTTAATATACCATTTCATGTATATGAAAGCTATATGAACTCAATTTACCTGACTGCGGGCTGAGTGTTATGGGTCAAGACATAAATTTTATTACTATTACCTAAAATATTTTTGGCATTTAATTAATTTAAATTATTTTAATAGTGCGTTGCTTGCCAATTGAATTTTTGCTTAATTTTATGTTGTTATATTTTTTCCTGCTTTTTGCCTGAGAGATAATGCTTTCAGTTGCAAATATACACTCGCAACTATATATGTATGTATGTATTCGATATGACCTAATTTTTCCATAAAATGTATTTATATTAATGTTGACAGCACTCAAATGCAGCAACCGCTCTACCCAAAGGCTGTATTGTGATCGAAACCATTTAATATTTTTATGTTAATTGAATTTTTAGTAAACGTTAAACTCGTTACATTTTACATTTTGTTTCGGAAAATTAATGAGATAATTATAAAAATTTAATAACGTAATGCTCTCTTTCACCACCGTAAGCGCTGATAAATGTTTTCAAATTCATTTTGATATTGAAAAATTAATTTAAAAAAAAAACTAATTTAATTTAACTTTGTGCGTTAGCATAAGTAATCACTAGCCAACATAAACAGATTCAATTTTTTAATTCAAATTTTTATTCCAAACATTTAATGGAGTAGTGTTAAAGTGTTGTAAGTTTGCTTAGGAAGTCGCACACTTTGTAAGCTTTGTTGTTGACGAATATAAGTTCTGCTTCGTATAAACAAAGGGTGATTACTTAAAAGCTATAGGAAAGTTTTTCAAAAAAAAAACATAAAATTCAAAAACATTTATGAAATCTATGCTTGAGTCCATAGTATGCTTCATATAATTCAATTTTTCAAGATTATTTCATGCAAATGTTCACCATGACTTCACCTCAAAAGGACCAGCCGCTTAGTCCAATTGCTTCAATGTTGTCCTCCCATGTGTCAATTGAAGCGGGCTTGTCTTTATAAACATTAGATTTAACATAGTTCCACAAAAAATAGTTTAAATGCGTTAAAACGCACGATCTAGGCGGCCAAATGACCGGTCCCGAACGTGAAATGAAATGTTCATCGAACTCTTCTCTCAAAAAGTCCATTGCTACGCGTGTTGTGTTGCATGTGGCACCGTCTTGTTGAAACCACATATCATGCAAGTCAAGCTCTTGCAATTGGGGTAAAAAAAGTTTGATATCGTCTCACGGTAACGCTCACCATTCACAAGTCCATAAACCGCACCAAACTGTGACTTTTTCTGGATACATTGGTAGCTCTTGCAATGCTTCTGGCTGATCTTCACTACAAAATCTACAATTCTGCTTATTTACGCTCTTTAGAATAGCAAAAATTATATAATGAAAATCGGTGAAAGGGAAGAATGAAGTTATAACTTCGATACTTCCATCGACAGTATTGAGTTAACGGCTGACCCAAGTAGAGGTACTCTTTTCAATGGCTTTTTTCGACAGATCACGCGTGAGTCGTATCAAGTTGTCATGTTATTTTTGTTGAAAGTCTTACGGTTGAATAACAAATTCACTCAACTTATGGACAACATAATCGGCCTACTGAGCGTACTATTCACAACACCAACAACCATCTTGAGACCCAGCATTCATTATTGGATAATTATTCGACCAAATAAACCATGTCTCGGCCATAGCTGAGGGTGTACACGAAGACCGTGGAGAGTCGATTCGCAACTCGCACTGACGTATTGAACAACTTGGTGCATTTTACGTCAATATCTTAAATTGAAAGCGTACAAAATTTCAGTTTGTTCAAGAGCTCAAGCAACATCGCCTCGCACTATGGGCTCTTGAAAAGTTCAAAGCAGATCTGAAGCAATTTTTGTTTAACGACGAGGCCCATTTCTAGCTCAATGTGTATGTAAACAAGTAAAATTGCCGCATTTGGGACGAAGAGCAACCTGAAGAGCGAATTGAAGAGCAATCTGAAGAGATTCATGAACTGCCATTTCATATAGTAAAAAACACTGTATGGTTTGTGAGCCAGAGGAATAATCGGTTGATATTTCTTCAAAAATGTTGTCGGTAAGAACAGATAATTTCATGTTTTGGTTCGTTCCATTGGTCCGATCCGTGTTGAAAATGCTTTATGTTATTGTATAATAAAGAATTGAAAAGATTGAAAAATAAAAATGTTAGATTATTCAAGCTCTCTAATAAGTGGTGCTTTTTCAGTAGTTAGACAAAAGTATAATATTTTGAATAAGTCGTGTTACAAGAAGTATATGACAAGAATTCAAAATAACATTACATCAAATCCGAAGTCATTTTATAAGTTTTTCAAAACATAAGAGTTTTGGGTTCCCATCGTCTATGAAAGTGAATGATGAAGTTTCTAGTGATTGTTATAGAATCGCATATATGTTCGCAGACTTTTTCGAATCTAATTATGTGCCGAGCACAAATTCGACCCCGTAGTCATTCATTTACACTTACTTATTGAATTTTTTTTGATTGCGTAAAATTACCACATATGTATTTATTGTATATCCGCTGATGTTGTTTATCACCATCTTAATGGCCTTAAGAGCTCATTCACATGGGATTCGAATAATATCCCTCTAGTGTACTTCAATTTCTTGCTGAATCTCTATATATACCATTAACAAACATACTCAATACTTCATTATAGCAAAATTTATTCCCTTCTTTCTAGAAAGAGTCATACATTTTCCCTCTGCATAAATCTGGTAGTAGATCTCCAATGGGGAATCGCAAGGGAATAGCAAAGTTATGATCTATCTCCAAAAATTTTCGAAACTATTATAACAAAGATGTGCCATCAATTGATGACATCTCATAACATGGGTTTTGTAAAGGCAAATCTACCCTTTCGAACCTGCTATAACTCACCACCCATATCAGTAATAGTTACAAAAATAGTTATCATACACTGACGTCAGCAAAGCATTTGACAAGGTTTCTCATTTCTTACTTCGCTTTAAACTCAATAATTTCGGGTCTCCGCCTTACTTTTTCAATTGGATTTCATTGTGCTTGATTGGGAGAAAATAAAAAGTAATTTTTAAATGTTTTATATCAAGTGAAATAGCAGTAACATCTTGTGTTTCTCAAGGCAATCACTTCGAGCCCTTGCTCTTCCTTATATTCATCAATAACCTTCCAAATGTGGTTCTTCATTCTAAAATACTTATGTACGCAGATGATGATGAAATCGTCAAAATATCAAAGTTATTGAAAAAGTGCTTTCTTTGCTAAAAAATAGATGGCTAAAGGATTTATGTATGTTATTGTTAACCGCAATTTTGTAAGGCGATTTGTTGCACCACAATGTATTGCATGTATAACTACCACCAGCTTTTACTAGTCCATCCGCCTGAATTTGCCTACTTTTGGCTTTCACTACAAATCTATAGTTTTGACAAACATTCACGTGCATTAAAGAAATCAGTAGAAACATCTAGATATAGCTTTGCTTTGGCGAGCAGCATATAGCCAGCGTTTAAATACTCAGCAGTAAAAGTTAAGGCCATAGATTTGATGGCTCAATGCTTTACAATAGCTTTCCCACTTCCTTCTTATATATTTCTCTCATGTATGAACTTGACGTCCTTTTTGCTGTTTGCCAATTGTGATACAAAGTGTTAGCCAGGTCCTTCTCTACCTGGTCTTCTCAATAAAGTGGGGAAAAAAGTGGAAAAAAATGACTTGAAGTAGCCACCAAACACTTTTGGAATGCTCTTCTACTGAATTTTTGAAAGTGGTTTGATTTATATATTTATTTGTATCTTCCAACAAGTTAATGGGTCTGTATATACTACTAGAGTGTCATAAAAGAGCATGCCGTGGCAAAAAGCAACGTCTTCAACATGTACAGCTTACGTCCCAGATATCGATATAATTGAAAACGTATGGGAGGGCAAGCCATAAGGTGTCGGTTTATGAGAATGGAGAATAATTTGAAACCTTTGATCTAGCAGTGGTCATTTAAGCTTTTTGGGAGCAAATTTCAAAATTCATAAATTAATGTTTAATTGTAACGTTTTGGATTTCCCTCCCTTTTCCTACGGTTCTGTTGTATCTGATAGACGATTGCTTGGTTGGTTGAAATCCTTATCGAGCATTTGACCACAATCGAGTACACCATTTAAAGGCTCTTTGTGCCGAAGCATAGTGAGAGATGTGACGCCTTAATCGGCTGAAAGGAGGATATTCGCAAAGGCAAATGTCAGTCTATGGTGAAAGCTTTAGCCAGCGGCGCCAACTCGTGCGCAGTTTCATTGGCTTCTTCATCCATGGATATTCACTGTGTTTTCCCGCGTGAATTGTGCATATTGTTAAAGTAGCTGAAGTCTTCAGTGCAGC